CTCTACATGTAGAGATAATTTTTTTCAACAAGCCTTTTATGTGGCACCTTGTTAAATGCTTTTTTTGAAAACAAAACCAACATGATAATGCTGATGTCAGTCATAACAAAATTGAAAAAAGCTTTGTAAATAGACTTGTAACCCTATTTTTATTGTGCTGAAAAGTGATGAGAAATTCATCATTGGCTAAATAAATGTTTTTCTATTAACATCTACTTCGAATTTCTATTTGTGTAGTTTTGTAGCATGTAATAATTTTGGTGCATTTCTTTTTTTTTGTTTAAATACTAAACACTTCTGTTAGTCATCTAAGTTCTGTGCACTTAAAGTTTTTCTCATTTCTTCTCTTACACTAATAGAAATTTCTGGTCATCAAGGTTTTCGTGAACTTGCAACATATTTCCATTTTCACCTGTTTAATTTACAGTAATCCAACTAGTTGTAATCATGGTTATCTGGAGCTTGTAACATTTCTCTAGTTTCTTTTTTAACATCACCAATACCAATTAGTGGTTATCCAGATTATGTGGAGCATGTAAGGTTGAATTATGTGTTCTGTGTATAAACTTTCTTAACAAACCACAAACAAATTAGCTGTATCTGTAGGGATTAACTGATGTTTTCTTTTTTAAGTTTTCATTTTGTATAAATTTTTTCTTACAGATATCACAGCTAAATGGTTTGTCTCAAGTGTGTATAATGAGATATCTATTTAAATATGCACCATGAGTAAACCTTTTCCCACAAATATCCCAAATTCCCTCTTCTTGCTAGTGCCAGCCCTGAGAAAAAAAACTTAGAGAGAGTGGAAATTTAAGGCAGCATCAACCCATTCACTCAAGTGAAAGACCATTCAGGCTTTAGTAGTTAAAAAGCTAACCCTGCCTGCCTTCATTACCTAAGAAAAAGATAGCTAACTTATGTATCTGTAACATGGAAATGAGTCTGACCAAAAATTACAAAGTATTGGGAAAATTTTCAGATTAGAGTATTTCCTCACTTATCAACAAGAAGGAGTGAATGTCCATCCTTTGTGAAAACAGATCAGAGTTTATCAGTGACCACTGGACTAAATAAAAATTAACCTAGGAACACATTTTTAGAGTAATGGTTGCTTTTATTTAATGAATGGTATTAGGCTTGGGAGGACAGCTAGAACTGGTTGTTAGGACTATACTCTTTAAAGCTGAGTCAAGTAAACGTTGTTCTAGACAAAGTGTTTTGGATCTTGCATCTTGTAATAAACAGTATTTGTGTGACAAGAGCTAAGAATCAATTAATTACTTTTCTGATTATTATTACTTATTTTCAAATCTTGTCACCACTTTTTAGACTTAAATAACACAGACAGAAATACTAAGGAAAATATGCTAAAATAAAGTTGCTAGATGAACATGATTTCCAAACACAACCCAAACATAAAATATGAACTTAAAATTGTATTATGTGCTAATAAAGTTGAATTCTTAAAGAACTTTGTTTTCAATCACTGGATCCTCTCTCATCTGGCTTATTAGTCTCATATTCATCAATAACACCACACTTTCTCTGGAGAATCATTATCTTCAACTGTTTTAAACCAAATGTTCATGTACTTACAGGATCTATGTAATGTTTCTTCATAATTAAACACAGATTGATCCTCCTTGAAAACTGTATATACATGAATTTTATTTTTGGTACCACAATTTTCTATTAAACTGTAAGAGAACAAAAATGTCACACACATTAAAGTCTTGATAACTGTATCTTTTATGTTTCTTAGCAATACTCTCTACCTTCTATAAGTGTTTCAAGTCAAGTTTGAGCTTTTATAACAGGAAACTATTCTAAACTTCACTTAAAGGTAGTACTCATTTTCCTTGATACAATGAAGTCATGATTTTGTGTCCTAAAGTACTCTGAAAACCACACTCAAATACAATGTAGAAAGCATTTTCCTAAATAAAGTGAAAATATTCCTATTTATTATTTAAAGCCAGTGTTCCATAATAAAATGTGAAACTGAACAACAATGAAAAAGGTATGGCATTTTCTACAGGTATGTATATGGTTAAATTCATATTACATGTACATTACATAACTACAAGGACACAAAAATATTAAAAAAAGGTAAACTGGAGATATTAAAGATAAAAAAGCAGAAAGTTTCCATAAGTGAACTTACAAGGTGATACTTCATTGATTTCTTATTTTCTCCAGTTTGAGCAAATCTCCTGGTTCCTTATCAGACATGAATTCAGTCTTTACCTTCAACACTATAAATAATAATGAAGTCATTCTTCATGAACACAGGGTGGCCATGCACACTTTTTCCAAATTTCCCCCAGTGACCTTCCAAGCAAAATTAAAGATTTTTCAGATCTGCACAAACATGTATGATGCTGATATTTACATTTTTCCTTGTAATTCTATCTAATGTACATCATTTAACTTGTAATCTTATTATACGATAATAAAAGATTCTGAACATAATTACAACAGAAAAGATCTTCAAATAATATCACTACAACTTCATGGTAGAAAATTAATTTTGTAATTTTTTTTTTACTTAAATAATATTTGATTTCACCTACTTATGAGTATAATGAATTTGGTATTTTATCACCAGACAAAATAACACAAAATGACTGACCAAGATTATGTTGAAATAGATAAGCATCATGGTTTGAGTACATGGACAGGTCCTGAGATTTAAAAAGAAAGAAGGGGGTTCTATAACTTCCCCTAGTTTTTTTCCAAGTTTTGGGAGAACATTTCAATTTTTCCAGACTTTCCAACTCCTTTTGAAATTTCTTGACTTTTGCAGGTTTGGGAGCACTTGCAGTACTGAAAACACAGGGTGAGTGTAAATGATTATAACTTTAAAAAGTAATTATCATATATGGGAACTAAATTTTATGAAAGGCACATTGAAAATTATGTATTTTATTCACAATAATTTGGACATTCTAAAGGGTTTTGAAAAACTGTGACTGAGGCTGTTCAATATGCATTTCCATCATTTCTAATAATAATATAAAACCTGTCCCTAAATGAAGCTACTGTGAGTACTAGCTCACAGACATTTTATTAAAGTCACCAATTTCATATTGGTTAATAAAGAGAGGGAAATAAAAATAATACTAATTTGTAAAAAATGTTATACAAGTATGCAACATAATATGGTTTTGAAACATCCTGTATCATGTCTACATTTTCCTGAATAAAACTTGTGTTTTTTAAAGTGTCCCTGATGAAATTTTGTTTTACTCCAGTGGGTAATTCTTAAATACAGTAACCTTCCATTCCAAATTTAGGTGGGACAGTCTGTTACTCTGAGAATTTTACAGTCTATCCCTAAATTCTGTATGAAATTATTTAGTCCCACCTGAAAAACAAAATAGCCAAGTATCATAGTAGCATACTCTCTTAATTTGAAAACAAGTGAAAAACCAAACTGATTTGGACAAAAACACTGACACGATGTCAGAATCTTGTGACCCTCAAACATACACTCCTGACACATTGATACAGATATGATAATCCCCCATGATTAAAATGTTAGTATCCTATCTTAGCAGTAAATGCTAGAAGTCTTGTAAAGATATATTTGTTTTCCTATTTTTCTCTGAATTATTCAAGTAAAAGGTGGTCACCCTATCTTTAAAATATAAATGAAAAAATGTCTTTGTAATAATTCCATATTTTTAGTTAACTTTCCTATTATGTTCTAGATCCATTTGACTTAACTGTGGTTTCCATAACATTATGATATAAATAAGTGCCAACCTTTTCTAAGTGATCCTATACATTTATTTTACATATGGTTAGTTACACATACTATGCATGTGTTACAATGGTTGCATGCGTGTGTCACTCTAACCACTTTGACTTCAGTAATTCTACATGTGTAAGTGTTGTATGTACTATTCTACTCATCTTGCTGCAGGTGAACCTAGACAAGTTTGTGTTACAAATAATAATGATCTTACATTATTATGTACACTTTACATACACTATTATTCTTATTACACATTAAAAGCAGCAACTTGATTGAAAATCAACATATCAAGAATAGTAATTTGATAACCAGTACAAGGCTCAGAGTAATCCATGCTTCAGAGATTTGGTGTTACTATAAAGGAAGCTATTAATGCTGTTTTAGAGAGGAAAAACTGCCATATATTTTAAAGAATCTGGATGGTTCTGTAAAGTAAAGGTCTGTTCTGAATAATATGGTTGCGATTTAAAGCTAATGTTGGTTACTATTGAGTGCCACTTTCTTACTTGCTGTGATTTGTTGGTGAGTATCGACAAAAAGTCATGATATCTAATCAAAAACATCTTAGTTGTGAAAAAAAAAAGTGTGGCCATGAAAGGATTGAGCATGTGACTTAAAGGAATGAAATCAAAATTGGCAGCCAAAATGGTAGCTACACTTATAGCATTGATAAGAAATTTACAGCAAATATTCATCCATTAGTTAGCTAGGCTGCATATTATGTTTTACCTGTCATCATGCCCCAAATTGAACAAGAACTGATGCCTGGATAGCTAATTAAAGAATATTTACTGTAAAATCCTTATCAATGCTGTAAGTATAGCTACCAGTTTGGCCACAAATTTTTATTTCATTCCTTTAAGTTGCATGCTCAATCCTTTCTTTGGCCACACCTTTTTTTTCCACACCTAAAGTGTTTTTGATTAGATACATTTAGCTGGTATATTAAGTAGTAGTGAATACATGGTCAGACAGGTTATAGTTAGCTGGTATATTAAACAGTAGTGAATACATGGTCAGACAGAGGATATAGTTAGCTGGTATATTAAACAGTAGTGAATACATGGTCAGACAGAGGATATAGTTAGCTGGTATATTCAACAGTAGTGAATACATGGTCAGACAGAGGATATAGTTAGCTGGTATA